TTTGGGATTTGAAACAAACACCCCCTTAATGAAAAATTACTAAGGACCCAAAATATGGGATCAATAGGAGGACAAATGAGGTGTCTCCCTCCTATTGGATAATGAGTTGGTCATCATTCATTAATGATGGCCAACTCATTATCCAATAGGAGGGGGACAACTCACTTGTCCTCCTTATTGGTCTCATATTTTTTGTCCTTGTAGCAAAGCTCTTTGTTTAATATATAAAAATTAATGTAGAGAAAAAAATTCAAATTAAAATAATGATAATATGGAATTTGTCAAAAATAACATAATCTAAGCTACATATATGCTTAAATTACTATTATTTAATTGTAAAGTAGAATCAATTTTTGAATCCTCTGTTGTCATAACAAAATGGGTAATGTCTCAGATCTATATGGTTAATGTTATAACATTTTGCTATACCAAATAACTAGTATGCAGCATTAATTTTTGCTCCACCTAAAATATTTCAAGCATAAAGAATGACAAGTACATGTCAAGTACACACATCCATAAAAGAAAATCATAACAATCTACCTATTGATAAAGAAAATATCTATCATAATCATATCAAGTAGTTGGGGTTATCAATGCAAATCCACCAAAAGAAATATACTACATACAATAGCTTGCTAAATAGGCTTTTAGACCAAGAACCACCAAAACAATATAGTTCATACAAAAGTTCACTAAGTAAGATTTTAGATCAAAATAGTAAATATAAGTTTCAAACATCATGTATCAGATAGAGATTTTTCAAAAAAACAGCTTCAACTATCTCTCCAAAATATTCTAATTCTCCTCTTCAATTTTGATTTGTTTCTGCTTTTTGTTGCTTGACATTTGTGGAGAAATCAATTCTGTAGAAACTGAGTGCTCGATATCAGACTCTAACAAATTCCTCTTATATGGAGTTATGTTATCTGAGAAACAAATTTCAGCTTCATTGTTGCAAGTGACCGAAAGGGTGTCTTGTATTACAATATAACATAACAATTAGCATGTTAGTGAGGTGCCAGGAGAAGATTCTTACACTGTTAATATGAAGAAGCAAAAAATCAATAGTAATGTGAAAAAAAAACATATTATCAGTGATTGATTATGAAAAATCAAGAAATCAATAGTAAAGTGAAATAGCAATCAAGTTGGAATCTATTTTAAAAGAGAAGAGAAAAGAAGATCTTTTGAGTAGTAGTGAGGATAATAAGTAATTGATTATGATGTTTGTCTTCTTCATGTATATTCTATTCTACTGTTTTATTTTATTTAAACACCAGGTTGTATATTTTTGCTTCTTTTTGTAGAGATGGTTTTGTTTGGGGTTAGGATTCATGAGAAGATAAGAGAGGGAGATTATTTTTAGTGGCCCAAGGTTCAATCTTTATGCAAGTCTTTTTAACATCCACCGCCAACAAATAGTATTGGAATATCAGTGTTGCAAAAAATATTGCATGTATCCAATTATATATGTCAAGTGGCTTTATGATTAAATTTGCTTGAATGTTAGGTTTGCTGAGAGTTTCTATTGATCATATCATCTCCCATTTTCCTGAAAATAGTAACCGTTAAGGTATTTTTCTATGTATCAATTTTTGTCATAGATGAGTTTAGACAGAGTTTATACATACAAAATTATGAACAATAATACTAAGCGTATTGACTTATAGTATCAAAAGCCTCTTTTTTCTAGAAGATTCAACTTCATAGTTGAAATATTTCTGGCCCGTTGACTCCTAGTGATTTAGAAACAAAAGAGATTACTTACACCACTCAGCATGATTTATGTATACAGATTGATGTAGAAAATTAAAAAATATATGCCCATAAAAGGAAGAATTTGTAATATATACCTGGTTGAAATATTATAAATATATTGGTAGAAAATTATCAAGTGTCTCTGGATCAATTACCTAGTTTGGTACTAATTGTAAATAAGCAGTATAATACTCATAAACGTATTCCTTTGAAATAATTACCTCACGTGCCTCTCGAATTTCATAAGCGTCTTCCATTCAGTTACTAATAGAAAATCATCCTCAATTGAATAAGCTTGTTCAGTTGGAATCTGATAAATCTTTGAGACGAAGAATCTTCGACAAGTTTCAGGCTTATAAATAAAATTTAATTAATTAGCAATAATATCAAATTACTTGTAAATAAATAATAAATGTAGCAATTCATCATGTACCTTCTTTTTTAGATCAGCAACCTCAGGCATGTCTGGATTGATTAATATATTGGATGCATATAAGGCATTTGTAATGGTAATTTTACCTAAGGAATTGAGGTTTTTAGCTTCATGAATTCTGTTAATAAATCCCAAATTTATAGAATGTATATATGTTGTGTGTGTGCACGTCTTTTGTTGATGAAATTAATATACAACTAATTAAATTTACCTCCATATGGTTTTGTCTTGGCAAGATGAATCACCATGATAATAACTCTTGTGTTAGCATTCTTCGCATTGCTTAAAACTTGGTCAGCATAATCT